CGATTAGTTGCGATGTCTGAATTTGTTTCTGTCCCCACCTGCAGGAAGAAGAGCAGGGGCACCAAGCGGCCATGCATCCTGAGGAAGAAGGGAGTAAGGACAAGGGAGAAGCTGAACGAGAATTGAGCCAAAGGAAAGGGACGAAGGGAAGGGCTCAGAAAGCGAGTTCGGAGAGTGAGAAGAGACTCGATGTCCGCTTGGGTCCATGGCAGGAGATAGATCAACAGGACCAGAATGTACGCACCGGCGAACAAGATCACGGAAGGCGCCGGGCTGCAGTCGTCAAGGGACTACACTAACACTCCAGGCCCCAAGAACCCTAAGGTACTGCAGAACCCTGCTGTAAAAACTTCACGGGCAAGACTGGGGTGCATGCCACCCGCTTCCGGACTAGGAGGTAAGCACCGAGACCTCTCGAGCAAAGCAATCCAAAACTGAAAGCGGTAGAGGTCGATACATCACATTCAACCGGCTGTCACTGGTGCTTGCACTTCCTCCACTTACTCAGCAAAACAGACTCTGAAAGTTGCTCTTCCCATGTCTTGGCCCCCTGGGCACCAGTGCACGGGATGACTCCGCAAAGCAGCACGGCCAGGAGTCGCGAGCTTCCAGGCCAGGATTACTTGAGTTTCTGAGGAGGGTTTCGTTGCAATTGTTCCTTGTCTTGACTTTTGGAGGAAGAATTCGTTGCAATTGCTACTTGTCTTGAGTTTCTGAGGACGAATTCGTTGCATTTACTACTTGTCTTGAGCTTATGAGGAAGGTTTCGTTGCAATTGCTACTTGTCTCGTGTTTCTGAGGAGAATTTCGTTGCAATTGCTACCTATCTAGAAAAACTGAGGAAGGTTTCGTTGCAATTGCTACTTGTCTTTAGTTTCTGAGGAAGGTTTCGTTGCAATTGCTACTTATGTTGAGTTTTGAGGAAGGTTTCGGTGCAATTGTTACTTGTCATGAGTTTTAGAGTAAGGTTTCGTTGCAATTGCTACTTGTCTTGAGTTTCTGAGGAAGGCTTCCTTGCAATTGCTACTTGTCTTGAGTTTCTGAGGAAGGTTTCGATGCAATTGCTACTTGTCTTGAGTTTCTGAGGAAGGTTTCGTTCCAAACGTTACTGGTCTTGATTTTCTGAGGAAGAATTTGTTGCATTTGCTACTTGTCTTGAATTTCTGAGGAAGGTTCCGTTGCAATTGCTACTTATGTTGAATTGTTGAGGAACGTTTCGAATTTCGTTGCAATTGCTACTTGTCCTGAGTTTCTGAGGAAGGTTTCGTTGCAATTGTTCGCCTCGGCTTCCTGTCGAGAAGCGTTTGCCGGATCGGGCCTCCCGCCCTGTGGGACCCCGGGGGGGTGGAGGGGGGGTGGGGGGTGGGGGGGTGCTTTCTGTGTGGGACCCGCTGATAGTCGGGACTCTCCACGGCATCGGTTTGCAGCTCCTCCAAGCGATGGAGCCCCCCACCCCCGCCCCCCCACCCCCCGCCCCACCACGCCTGACCCTCCCCGTTTTTGCAGAAACCCTCTTTCCTCATTTCCTGTCCTGGGGCGGGCCTGGCTGCCGAGGCGGCGCGCGCAAGCGTTTACAATTACTTGTCTTGAGTTTATGAGGAAGGTGTTCCTTTTCTTGCAGGTAAGGGGCTAGAATCACAAACGAAAGACGCTGCCATCGCAAGGGCTTCTCATATTTTACTCCGAAGAATGAGAGAATCCTTATCAATACAAGTACGGATTCTTGCTTTCTCATCCCTTCCTGAGAAGAAAAGGACCTCTTGTTTCTTCTCTCTGGTATCTAGCTACTTAACAAAGCTTGGAAGATACCGTTGACGGGTGCTTCTTGATGCTACATCTCGCCTGGCGTGTCGGCGCGTGGGGCGATGCTTCTCAAGTACTTGACAAAGAATATGCCTCCTGTGCTCCCGTGCGCAAACTGAGGTGGACGAATCACTCATCTAAAATTTCCAGCACTTGCGATCCGGAGACTCACTACTCGCTCACACTTCGAGTGAATCTTCGCCGCGGTTCTCAAAAAAACACCGAACTCGGGTTCGTCGAACGGATATTTGTTCTTGATCCATTTGTGATTCAACCAGCGGCCGTTCCAGCAGCAATCGCGTTATGAAATACGGATCGTTTTTTGGTAAACTCGGGTTGGAACCCATCACCTGCTGGAAGGCAGACAACCGTTGCAGTTTCTGCAACGAACGCTTGTGCGTGGCATGGGACCCGCCATCCAGCTCATCATAAATATCATTAATCATTAGTCGCTGTCGAAAGACGGCCCTCCCCCCCAAACCTCCAACCAGCCCTGCCAAGGACTTCAAAACAAACTGAAAACTCAACCCCTCGAACAAGCAAACCTTATGTGAAGCGCCCTTTTCTACTGGGCTTGAGGGGCAGGCCTCCAAAGCGCCTTTCTCTCTCTCTGCTTCTCCTTCGCTGCTTCCGGGCTCGGAGCACGCGGAGCTCTGCGAAGCGTCGCTACGAAGACTGGGGCTCTGTCTCACGCTTCCGCCTCGTGGAAGCTTCTTCCTTGAGCCTGAAAAGGGCCAGACTCTGTCTGTGCTGACCTTTCAAATTTCGTGAGAGGTGCAACAATCTCACGGCCTGCGTCGCTCTTCTTCACGCACGCGCTTGCGGTCCAGAACTAGCAGAGCAATGGCCAGACAATGCTGCACGAGTACTTGCAAAGGCCATGTACCACTGCCACACAGGTTCGTTCGGAACAAGTGCCTCCTCCTTTGCTTTCTTAGCTTTCTTAGCTTTGGCATCCTCTTGGGCCACCGTCTTCCTTACGAGATCGATTGCACGGCAATTCGTCAATGCGAAAGCAAAGGCGGATAAGGCAGCTGGACTCGGCCCGCTGAGTCAACCACTGCGGAACAGGTACGTCGACCGGCCCAAATGGATTGCGCACGACTGCCTGCCAACGACCACAGCTCGAGAGCGACAGGGTCGTAAGACCGTTCACTCACTCACGGTATCTTCGTGCATTGACAGGCCCCGTCAAACGAGAGAGAAACAAGGGTCTCCTAGAACGCACCATGAAAATGATTGGCACAGCAGAACCCTTGTCACTGCCAGTTCCTACTTCCGAGGGCGTCGCAAATGGACAAATCTAAGAAATGCTTGGACAGTAGAGCCCCACTGAACCCCAAGTGGACTTTGCCAATGTTTGCAGGTCCTGGCCGTGGAAAAGGGCCAGCGCGGGCGCGGGTGGCAGAAAATACCTTCCGAAACGCGGCAAGCCTGCATCAGGGCGTAACCTCGTACTCGTCGACAGCTGCTGAATCGAAGCAGTCCCAGGCCTCGGCTGCAGCTTGGGGAACCAGGGAATGGCAACTGCGGCTACTGAGTCACGGAGGCAGGCACACACTGCCCGCGGATCTGCTCCACGAGGCCCTCCTTCGCCCGGACTTATACTTGACGGCCTGAGGCTCAGGAAACTCGGTGATGGTCATCAGCGGCGCTGCTCATCGCACGAGCCGGCCTCCCAGACGGCGATGTTCAAGGCTAGAGCGGAGAGCGACCTAGCAGGAGGTCGGGGGCACAAACCAGCCCTTGGACCCCAGAGTTCAGGCCGCGGAGCTGGTCATGGCTGCACACAAGCTGAAGGGGCCCACGTTCAATCGAGTCAAATTGAGCCCGCTGAGGACGGCTTGCAGAGCAGCTTTTGCTAAGATGGACATGTCTTGTTTGCAAGCTTTAGGCGCGTAGCTTTCTGCTCATGGTCAAGGAGGCAAAGCCCACCTCCTGCGAAGTGTCGGTGTGAGTCGTCCTCTTTTGATCTCGAGTACTGCGCTGCACAGCGCTGGTCGCATCGGCCGCCTGCTGATGTTGGAGCTCGTCGGCCCTCGCTGACCCTGGGCCCTAGACTCAGGGACGGTGCCTGCCGGGGCAGAGGCAAAGGGTGCGCAGTACAGACTGCAATGGAGTTCATTTAGGAATGTGGCAAATTGGGTGCGACTTGCACGCCCTAAGGTTGCTTGTTCCGGATTTCATGCAAAAGTGCACGGTGAGCTGATTAGCGGTTGATTGGTGTTTGCAGAACAACAGCATTGTTGTGATCAGGAGGGCACACAGTGCACCAGCCCCACGTACTTCTGCACAAATATTCAGATCACGCACCTGCCTAGCATGAGGTTTGTCCCTGCTGGCTTGTCACAACTACAGGTGATCCCAATTCTGGAAGCATGACCCCCCATGGTTCCGGCTGGTCCCCAGCTTCTTGAACTTTTTCACTCAGGAAGTTGAGGCTGTTTTTCCTATTCCTATCCTCTTCTTCTGCTTCCTATCTGCTCTCTTGTGGTGTTGTTTCAATCCAACACAATAATTCCATAAATCTGCACGCTCATCTCCCCGCAACACCTGGCTTCTGATGGTTTGGTACTGGTGAGCCACTTGCAAGCATTGGCAGCACCGCAGAAGAAAGGGCCAACAGCAGCAAGAGTCTTGCGCATCACCCACTTTCGTCCTCTTTGTTCAGCGATTGTCAGCGATTGCCAGCTATTGACTGGCAAGTGGCAAGTGGAACGTTGCAACATGCAGGCTTCGTGTTGTGCTTATAGACTCATGCTGTCACAGGGCAGCACAGCGCAGCACAGCACCAATTGCCCCCGTCCACCCACAACTGTGCAGGAGCAAGCTTGATGGCTGCAGCAAGAGATTAGCTGAAGATTGTAGAAGTGCAGGAATCAGGAACACTGAGCAAATGCACGTTGCATCGTGGCAGCACGGCAGCAAGCTATGCTTTGCCTACTCAAACGCTAGCTCGTCTGTGGGCTGTGATTCACTTATGATCACGCTACGTCGCTGCGGGGTCCCCAAACTGTTGCACACAGACGGCTCTCTGTAGCAGCGGCTTAGCGCAAGAAATCGCCAAACCAGCTATTCAAAACGTCAGAAAGGCGTCAGCATGAGCGCCTCAAACTCAAACAGAACTGCTCTGATTTGGCAGCCCGCGTCTTTGGCAGGACCCCCCTGGATGGGAATCTTGTGCCTCACCAGGAACTTCAAATGTCGACCTCGCCTTTTGCCTTGCACAAGCGCGAGGGATGCAGGGCAAGGATGTGAAAAGATGCGGATTGCTTTGATGGCTTCCTACCTGCTTCCCACAGTCTGCAACTACTCAGCGTAGCATCCGGGCTGCCTGGCCTGCCCCTTCTTGTAAGCTGGCTTCGGGACTGGCTCGCTGCCGACCTGGGCCAGCATCTGGCAGAGCCTCGGTATCACATGGTATGCCTCATGGAAGCAAGCAGGAGCAGGGGGGCAGTGGGCAGCTGCGCCCTGCTTTGCAGGCTCTCAGCCAGGCAGCGTCTGGGGATACAAGAACAGGGCAGCGCAAATGTCCTCGATGCCAGAGCCCTCAATTCCGTACAACCTCCTGATCTGATGTCGGCCAAGGGAGAGGATGCCGGCGAAGGTGAGGTATGCGACCCAGGCCATGGCCCACATCGCCTTGCCTTCCTTGGCGCCATTTGCATCCGCCTGGTAGATCCATGAGACGATGTGGAGGATCACGAAAGCCTTGAAGGCAACGCCCAGCACTAGCGTGAGCATGCCATGGGCTCCGGCACGTGTCGGGGCCTTCTCGTACTTGGACATGGCCCGCATGGAGCGCCAGAAGACGACCGGAGGCATGATGGTTGCCAGGCCGAAGCTTGTGAAGACGTGCAAAGGTGGCAATTTCGACCTCCCGAATGTCAGGACCCATTCAGGAGCATCCAAGATGCCACCGTAAAGGGGCAGGTTCCAATCCGGTCGTAGGCCCCGGGGAGCAATCTCCCCAGCCTCGATCTTCAGCGCACGCCAAAGGGATGTGCACATCATCATCATGACGATCGTGAATGGGAGGCCCATTACAATCGAGACGGCCTGCAAAGCAGTGAGGGAGCTGAAACCGCCAGACGCAAGGGCCGCGATGGCAACTGCACCCTCCGTCACGGCCCAGAAGATGCGCTGCACAACGTGTGCCTCGCGACCATTTGCGGCAATCAGGTCCACCACCAGAGAGCCACTGTCGCTGGACGTCACGAAGTAGAGGATCGTGGTGACGATGGACACAAAGACAAGGCTGTTGCCCATGCCGTAATACTGGCCCATCAGGTCGAACCAATACCCGGACGAGTCTCCCGAGGCGAACTTGCAGACGGGGCTCACATCCGTGTTCACGGAGTAAGCACTGTAAGCATCTCCAGGCAAGCTCGCTGGCACGTCGAAGCACTTGCCTGCCCCACTGGGCCGGAAGGTGAGGGCGGTGTGGAGGAAGTAGTCGGCGTTGCCGAAAACCTCCGTGCCGACATTCTCCAACCAAATGGCCCGGCGGTTCATGCGGATTGCTGCTGCGCCGAAAATGCAGAACCACAGTACGGCATACAGGAAAGGCAGGGTCAGAGTGTACATGACCACCTGCTTGATGGTACGTCCTCGAGAGATGCGGGCCATGAAAGTGCCCACAAATGGGGCCCAAGCGATCCACCAGCCCCAGTAGAAGATGGTCCACCAGTCCATCCACGAGGGATGCGCTCCCTTGCCGTCGTTGGGCCTGCCGTTGCCAAGGTCCAGTTGCGCAAAAGCATCGGTGTCGAAGGCGATCTCCAAGAAGTGCGCAAGATGGTACCCGACTGCCTGGACAATGACGTTCAAAATGTACCAGGGCTCATCCAGGCTGAAGACGACCACCATGAGGAAGTTCCCAAGCATGAAGGCCGTGTAGGAGACCGTCTTGATACCGAAGTCCAGACCAGCCACGACGGAGGCGGTCGCGAGCAGCGTGATGACGGCGATGATCCAGGCGGCCGTGTTGGTCAGTTGGTCCTGCGGCGAACTTCAAGGGCAGCGTAGCGACGTAGGGGCTTTTGGAAAATCTTTCGGCCTTATGCTAGGGCTGCGTTATGATGGTTGGGGCCCCTATGCGCACCTCTCCTCGGTGAGGGTGCCTTCCAGCCACTCAAGGCGCTGCAGACCACCTACAATCTGGCGTGCACCAAGGCCAAGCGACGTGCACAGACCGGCGACGATGGTGACGATGGTCAGGACGTCCAGCAAGTCGCCCATCCAGCCCCAGGTAGCCTTGCCAAAGAGAGGGGCCATGCAGGTACGGAAGCACAGCGGCAGGTTCTTCCGGTAAGAGAGGAAGCCCATGGTCAACGCAGTGATGGCATAGACGATCCATGCCAGGAAGCCCCAGTGGAAGAGTGTGATGTGAAGTCCGCTGATGGCCCTATCGTTCTCGTTGAAATACCCATTGTTATTGTACTTGTTGGTACCGTCCTCAGCATGGAACAGAGGCTCAGAGGCTCCATAGAAGATCAGGCCGATGGCCACACCGGCACACCAGACCATCGCCAAGTAGGTGAGGTCGCCGTACTCGGGCTCCTCGTCGTCCTGATGCGCCATGCGGCATGGAAATGGCACGACATGGCACAACATAGCACAACATGGCACAAGCCGTGCGAGGCATGTGATGCTTGTGCGGAATCCCGTGGCCTGGCCGAGCTTCATGTCCCCATAGTAGTAGCAGAGCGGGAACAAGTAGAAAATCCAGTAGTCCTATATGCACGCCACAACACTGCCGCAGCTTTATGCACCTGCCAAATTTTTCAAATGCACCCCTGCCCAATGGCCTGGGAGACAATATAGAGCCAGGTGAACTTGTTGGTGACATAGGACTGCCACTCCCCGAAGACCGTGGAGGCCTCTGGGTCCACTACTGCATAAATGACGAAGCCCCAGAGGACTGCGGCGGCCAAGATGGAGACCACCGGGTTGAAGCGGATGGAGCCTTAAACTCATGGTAAACTCGCACATTGACTCCCATTGTTTCCGTTGGAGAGCATGGAAAGAAGCAGCGCTTGTCGCCGGGGTGCAGAAGTTAAGCTCACGCGTGCCCTGCGGCCCGGCGCCGTGACCGCGCTCGTACTCCTCCGCCTCAAGAACTGCTCTCATAGGCTCCGAATTCCTAATCCTCCCAGCCCCACAAACCCCCCGCCCCCGGACCCCTCCAGCGACAAGAAGCGAAGCACTGATTGGGCCAGCCTCGGCCATTATGCTGCACTAAAACAAGCTACTGCCCCAAGCCCCTAAGTTTCCAAAGGATCGCTTGAGCCGCCACTGAGCACGTGGATTCCAAGCTTGGAAGCCTTCCAGGGGAGTGCCTGAGGCACAAAGGGTAGCGCACGTCACCCACTTTCGTCCACTTGTATAAATAGCCGCAGTTCTGCACTTCAGAGGCGGCAAGTACGGTGAATAGCAGGATTTCTGAGTTTGGAGAGGCTGCACATGCTGGGGGTTGAGGGTTTCTGCAAATACCGTAAACAGCAGCATCTGCGCGCCTGCAGATACTGTTAATAGCAGCATTTCTGCGTTGTCAGAAGCTGCAAAAAATGTAAATAGCAGCATTTGCGCGTGTCCAGAGGTCGCAAATACTGCAATGCGCAGCATTTCCGAGTTTGCGGGGGCTGTAAATACTGTACAAATAAAAGCATTTCTGCGTTTTCAACGGTTGCAAAGACGGTAAATAGCAGCAAGTTTAGACCACTCCTTACCCATTTGCAAACACGATGCAGGCATGATGGGTTTCAGACAACATGTTCTTTCAAAGCTTTGTGCGCCTAAAAGAGCGGGGGGCACACGCAGCCCCCCTGGTTTGCAAACACAATGCACCCATCATGCTTTTGAAAAAAGAGCGTATGGCTTATAATAGGTTTTGCAAACACAGTGCTCGCATCATGTGTTTGAAACAGTACGGCTTGAAATGGGTGGCACCCTTAAAAACGCGGGGGTTTGGGGGGGGCGCAACCCCCCCCCCCCCCCCATATGCACACACAATGCTCGCATGATAGGTTCGTACGACTTAAACCCCCGCTCCCCCATTTGCAAACACGATGCTCGCATGCTGGGTTTCAGACAAAATGTTCTTTCAAAGCTTTTGTGTGTATTTGTGTGTCTAAAATGAACGGGGGGGTTGGGGGGGGCGCAGCCCCCCCCATTTGCAAACACAATGCTCGCATCATGCGTTTGGAAAAAAAGACTGTGCGGCATAACATGGGTGGCAGCCTTGAAAAAAAAAACGGGGGGTTGTGGGGGGGGGGGGGGGGGGGTGGGCTTAAATAGGGTTTATTTGGAAGCTGAGAGTCGTGTTTTGGTGTGGTAGATAGAAAGGAACGGGCATGAGAAAGTAGCGAAAGGAGCTCTTCAATTCCCTTCCTTATCTCCTATGCTCTTTTCCTTATTCATTGCAACAGGAGAAGACAGGAAAGGGCCTCCATTCCCCTCTTGTTCTTCCTTTCTTGCGTTTTTGTCATTTCAGGGGGAACAGGAGAAGAGAAGGGAAAGAGAAGGAGAGGGGAGAGATAAAAGGAACACAGTTTTAATGGGGAAGAGCAAAGAAAAGAATAGAAGAGAGATGAATAAAGGAGAGGGAGAGACAAAACAAGGCGCAAAGAAGATGGCACTCTTCTTTATCTATCCTCTCTCCCTCATCTCTGCAAGGAATAGAACAGACAGCAAGGAGACGGTGACAAAACTTGTCGCAAAGCTTTATATATCTCCCTTGTCTCTCCCTAGTTAGAAAAAACCAATCTTGCTATTCACATCGCCTTTCCCCTATTTTGCTTTTTGAAGCGACTGGAAAAAACAACAGATAAGAAGAGAGGACAGGGAATGACTAAGTAAAGAGAGGAGCTCTTCAATTTTCTCCCTATCTCTTATGTTACTTTTCCTTCTCTTGGGGGGGGGTCCTTTTTTCTCCCTTGAAGATGCAGAAACCGATACCCGTTCCATCGCGCATGTATAGGGAGAGAGAATCATGAGCATCAGTTGGGTTTGCTGCGCCACTCAAAACTTCTCAAGTGACCTAGGCACACTCTGCGCCTATCAGAGTACATTACAAGTACAAGTACAAGTACAAGTACAAGCTTTCGTTTTTGAGGTGGAGGGCACGAAAGGTGGAGAAGGGCTGGGGGGGTGGGGTAAAAGAATCATATAAAACTACTTGTAGAGTTTCTAAAGTTTATGAAGTGGGCTCTTTTTTTTCTCTCCTTTGGCTAATTTTGGTCAACATTTGCCCTTTGGCCCAATTTGGCCCCAAAAAACGGCCCCAAAGGGCCCAACAATGGGAAACGTGCGGCTCGATTTGGCCAAATTTTGCCGGGCAGCCTTCGGGCAAAATTTGGCCAAATCGGGCTGCCCTTCGTAGGCGATGAGAAAGGCGCGGCTCGATTTGGCTAAGTTTTGCCGGGCAGTCTGCGGGCAAAATTTGGCCAAATCGGCTGCTCTTCGTACGCGATGAGAAAGGCACGGCTCGATTTGGCCAAATTTTGCCGGGCAACTTTCGGGCAAAATTTGGCCAAATCGGGCTGCTCGTCGTACGCGATGAGAAATGCGCGGCTCGATTTGGCCAAATTTTGCCGGGCATTCCATCTATGAGTGAACAAAAACTAGGATAGTTCACTCGGCCTCTTTCGTATAGTATTAGTTCAATATTTGCCTAGTACAGGCACAATGCATCCGAAAAGAGTATTTCCCTACGTTTTGGGCACGCATTATTTCTCTACAAGAGAAACACGCAATCAGACAAACCAAAAACCCACAAACCAAAAAAACCAAAACCAAAAAAAACGAAAGAACCAAAATAACCATTTTCCTGAGACTCTTGGAAACCAAAAACCCAAAAACCAAAAACCCCCAAACCAAAAAAACCAAAACCAAAAAAGAACACAAAAAAACCAAAAACAAAAACATTCTTCCGAGACTCTTGGACAAAGGGAATCATTACCCCGTGCCGTCAATACTTCGAAAATAAAGTTGTTTTTGTTTTTTTTGGTTTTTTTTAGTTTTTGTTTTTTTTTTGGTTTTGGTTTTTTGGTTTGGGTTGTTTTGGTTTGGGTTGTTTTGCTTTCACCTGTCCAAGAGGCTCAGAATAATGTGTTCTTTGTTTTTTTGGTTTGGGCTTTTTGGCATCCTGATTTGGCGTTTTTGACCTTTTTGGGGTTCTGGAAACCTGTAAACGTAGATCTTGGGGGGGGTGGCGAGTCGGCGAGCATATATATATATATATATATCAAGGAACAAAGTGCAAGAGACCCATCGGTGTAAAACGTTACATGCATTTCTATAGTCCTGCTCTTGGCTGCTATTTCTTTGTAGCGTTGCTGTACCAGGCTTTCGCGCTTCATAGCAAACGGCGTAGTTCGCTGTTCTTTTGAGATACAACGCACAATGCCTAAACCCCCTCCTATAAACCCCCTCCTGATCACAAGTGCCAGCGAATTGGCTGGCAAGTGGCAAGCAATCGTGTTGTGCTTGGGCTCAGTGCCAACTCTCAGAAAGCATAGGGCGGAACATCATAATTATGCATAAACTTGAGCACTTGTAGAAGCCCATGAGCACTGAACACATGCAGGTTGCCCAATCCTGGCAACACGGCAGCAAGCTGCAAGGTTGCTTTGCATGCAAAGGAACTGGTGCGAAGCCTGCATGGCAACAGCTGCGCGAAGGACCACTTGCTGCAAAGACCAAGTCCTGAGCCTTCTGGTTTTCCCCTCTGGCGGCGCGATGCTGCTGCTTGGGCGGCCACTGTACAGGCTTTTCGGCTCGCCCCTAGCCTTCTGCAACGACGTCGTCGCAAGCGGCGGGATGCTGGCGCAAGCATTGTCAGCTTGACCAAGGCTTGGCGCCCTCGTGACTTCGAACGCTTACCGTCTTCCTTTCTGGGGCTGTTGAAAAACTCGCAGGGATCAGGTGGAAGAAACCTGCTTAGGGAGTTGCTGAAAACTAGTCGAGGATTCGAGAGCTGATCAGGGATTGAGCAATGTCGTGAAGGCACTTCGACAACGGGTCAAGGACAAAAGGCGTCAGAATATTGGATGAAGCCTTGAGAAATTCGAGGTGTAGTGTAGGACTGTAGCTTCCAAACCTGCAATTTGAGCATGCAAGGGTTCATAGAAGGTTCAGGGATTGCGTTGCTCTCGGTCTCAGGGTCTGCGTGCGAGACTTGCTATGCAAGAGACCGGGTGGTCTATCGACAAAAAAACACCGGCACCGCATACAAAGACTAGGCCGATGTTGCGGGCTGACCTTCTCCGCCTTTGGCCTGCTCCTTCAGCAGATTCAAAATTCAGGTCCTGGAAAAGCTGGCTGAACTTGAGAGCAGGGCGAACGAAAGCTAGGGCGCAGGTGTGAAGACCGCGCTGTTCAGTCGTGGAAGCTTTACGGACGAGAGGGTTCGGGCGTGCGAGTGTTGGGGGGAGACTTTCAAGGGTGTTTCAAATCTTCTCGAGCTTTGGGGTCACGGCTTTTTTTTGTCGCCACGCAGTACCATGTAGACGAGCCCTGAAATGATGGGTATACAATGCTGACTTCTACCAAACGAGCTTGCAGCATATAAAGTCAAAGAAAAAGTTGAAGTAACAATGCTGACCTAAGGGGGGGGGGGGGGGGACCCAAGGGGGGGGGGGGCGGACCCCCCCCCCCACCTGTATTCGGGAACATGTGGCTCTTTATCCCTGGTCCCGCCAGCCTCCAAGCATTTCGGTATGGCAACCCCAGAAGGGGGGGGGGGGGGGGGGGGGGCCCCACCCCTTTTTTCCATGGCAGCTTAAACCTCCGATAAATCAGAGATTAAGGCCCCTGAGTGCTGCTTGGCCCAAGAACAAACTGGTAAACAAGAACTCCCGCAAGCTCCCAAGGAGCTAGCTTTCGTGATAACTCAAGGAGTCGGCTTGATGCTTTGCCCCAAAGCACTATCAGAATGACTCTCAGAATGACTGCCTATGCGACTCCTCAAACAAAACAGGATCTGCATCTTCGAGTTGAAACCTTTTAGAGAGCCCTTCCTCGATTGTGCATGTGCATATGCCACCCAGCGACCAATTGCGCCGCTCTTCGCCCTGTTCTTGTGAGTCGGATGTCGGCGTATCGGCTCTGAGCCCACGAGATGCCTCTCGGACGCTTCAACTTCTCTTGAACTCGCATTTTGTCCGCTGCTGCATCCCTTGGCTCCACGCAGCATTCGCCATGAGAGCACAAATCTAGAAGCGTGACCC